AGTGGGATTTATACCAGGAATGTAGGGATGTTTCAGTATTAGAAAAACAATCAATGGAATCCATCACATAAATAAAACAAAAGACAAGAACCACATGATCTTATCAATCGATGCAGAAAAGGCATTTGACAAAGTCGAACACCCATTCTTGATAAAAACTCTCAACAAAATAGGGAACAGAAGGGAAATTCCTCAACATAATTAAGGGCATTTATACAAAGCCAACAGCCAACATCATCCTAAATGGAGAGACTCTGAAAGCATTCCCCTTGAGAAGGGGAACCAGACAAGGATGCCTTTTATCACCACTCTTATTCATCATTGCGATGGAGGTCCTAGCCAGAGCAATTAGGCTAGAAAAAGAAATAAATCGCATCCAAATTTGTAGGGAAAAAGTCAAAGGATCTCTATTTGCAGATGATATGATCTTAGACACAGAAAACCCCAAAGAATCAACAAGAAAACTGCTGGAACTAATAGAAGACTTCAGCAAAGTTTCAGGATACAAGATAAACATACAAAAATCAGTTGGATTCCTTTACACCAATAAAGAGAACGTGGAAGAGGAAATCACCAATTCAATACCATTTACAATAGCCCCCAAGGAAGACAGAATACTTAGGAATAAATCTCACCAGAGACATAAAAGACCTATGCAATGTACAAGACACTATTTCAAGAAACCAAGAGAGACCTGCATAAGTGGAAAAACAGAACTTGATCATGGAATGTCAATTCTACCCAAAGCGATCTACAGATACAATGCAATCCCGATCCAAATTCCACTGGCATTTTTTATTGAGATGGAGAAACAAATCACCAACTTCATATGGAAAGGGAAGGGGCCCTGAATAAGTAAAGCAAACTCAAGAAGAACAACAAAGTGGGAGGCCTCACACTACCTGATTTTAGAACCTATTATACCACCATGGTAGTCAAAACAGCCTGGTACTTGTAAGACAACAGATACGTACACCAGTGGAACAGAATTGAGAATCCAGACATAAATTCATCCATCTATGAGCAGGTGATATTTGACAAAGGCCCAAAGTCTGTTAATTGGGAAAAGACAGTCTCTTTAACAAATGGTGCTGGCATAACTGGATATCCACCTGCAAAAAACTGAAACAAGACCCATACCTCACACCATGCACAAAAACTAACTCAAAATTGATCAAAGACTTAAATATAAAATTTAAAACAATAAACATCATGGAAGAAAAAATAGGGACAACGCTAGGAGCCCTAATACATGGCATAAACACAATATGAACCATAAATAACAATGAACAAGCTCCAGAAGAGAGACTAGAGAAATGGGAGCTCCTAGAAATCAAACACTTATGCTCATCAAAAGACTTCACCAAAAGAGTAAAAAGACAACCTACGGACTGGGAAAAAATTTTTGGCTACGACAAATCCGATCAGTGTCTAATCTCTAAAATCTACAAGACACTGCAAAACCTCAACAACAAAAAGACAAATAACCCAATTAAAAAATGGGCAAAGGATATGAACAGGCACTTCACCAAAGAAGATATTTAGGCAGCTAACAGACGTATGAAGAAATGTTCACGATCATTAGCCATTAGACAAAAGTAGATCAAAACTGCAATAAGGTATCATCTCACTCCAACAAGGCCAACATTAATCCCAAAAACAGAAAATAATACATGCTGGAAAGGTTGTGGAGAGACTGAACACTTACACATTGTTGGTGGGAATATAAAATGCTACAACCACTTTGGAAATCGATTTGGTGCTTCCTTCAAAAGCTAGAAAAAGAAGTACAATACGATCCAGCTATCCTGCTCCTTGGAATATATCCTAGAAAAATAAGAGCAGTCACACGAATAGATACATGCACACCCATGTTCACTGCAGCACTGTTCACAATAGCAAAAAGATGGAAACAACCTAGGTGCCCATCAATGGACGAATGGATAAACAAATTATGGTATATCCACACAATGATAAAGAACAACAATGAAGCCATGAGACATAACATGGAGGAAGCTGGAGGTCATTATGCTGAGTGTATTTAGTGAGTCACAGAAGGACAATACTGTATCAGACCAGTATTGTAAGAACTCAAGAAAAGGTTTAAACACAGAAGACAACATTCTTTGATGGTTATGAGGGTGGGGAGGGAGGGGGAGGGTTATTCACTAACTAGATAGTAGATAAGAATTATCTTAGGTGAAGGGAAGGACAGCACTCACTACAGGGGAAGTCAGCACAACTGGACTAAACCAAAGCTAAGAAGTTTCCTGAATACAGTCAAACACTTTGAGGGACAGAGCAGCAGGGGTAGAGGTCTAGGGACCATGCTTTCAGGGGACATCTAGGTCAACTGGCATAACAAAATTTATTAAGAAAATGTTCTGCATCCTACTTTGGTGAGTGGCATCTGCAGTCTTAAAAGCTTGCAAGCGGCCATCTAAGATGCATCAATTGGTCCCAACCACCTGGAGTAAAGGAGAATGAAGACCACCGAAGACACAAGGCAAGTACTAGCCCAAGGGACAGAAAGGGCCACATAAACCAGAGACTTCATCAGCCTGAGACCAGAAGAACTAGATGGTGCCCAGCTACCACCAATGTCCGCCCTGACAGGGAACACAACAGAGAGTCTCTGATGGAGCAGCAGAAAGGTGGGATGCAGAACTCAAATTCTAGTAAGAAGATCAGACTTAATGGCCTGACTGAGACTGGAGGAACCCTGGAAAGCATGGCCCCTGGATTCTCTATCAGCCCAGAACGAAAGCAATTTCCAAGGCCCAGTCTTCGGACAGGGATTGGACTGGACTGTGGGACATAAAGTGATACTCATGAAAAGTGTGCCTCTTAACTCAAGTAGATACAAGAGACTAAACGGGCAGTTTCTGTCCGGAGGTGAGATCGAAAGGCAGAAAGGGTTAGGAGCTGCTTGAATGGAAATGGGGCATCAGGAGTGGAAAGGAGGAGTGTGCTGTCACAGTATGGGGAGAGCAGAGTCACAAAACAATGTATGTATAAATTCTTCTATGGGAAATAAAAAAAAAGAAAAAAGGAATAAGAAGTGGAAGGGAATCTGTACTTTCTGACAGAGATGACTGGTTTGTGGTCAGAAGCCAGTTTACAGTGAATGAAAGCTGAGAAAGTAGAAGCAGCAGAAATATGGCAATGAAGGGGAAAAGGGAGCTATGGAAGAGTCAATGGGAATTTTCCTTTTTTAGCATCCAAAAAACCCACTGCCACCAAGTCGATCCTGACTTATAGCGACCTAATAGGACAGAACAGTACTGCCCCCATAGGGTTTCTAAGGAGCAGCTGGTGGATTTGAACTGCTGACCTTCTGGTTAGCAGTCAAGCTCTTTAACCATTATTCCACCAGGGCTCCTTTTTTAGGATAACGAAAAAAAAAAAAACCAAACCCGTTGCTGTTGAGTCGATTCCAACTAATAGCAAGCCTACAGGACAGAGTAGAACTGCCCCATAGAATTTCCGAGGAGTGCCTGGTGGATTTGAACTGCTGACTGTTTGGTTAGCAGCTGTAGTTCTTAACCACTACGCCACCAGGGTTTCTTTTTTAGGACAGTGAAACTAAATCCAAGTGAAAGAATTTTATTTAAGAGTCAGTGGTAAGTCAGATAGTGCTCCTGCCTTACAAACATTTTAAAACTAACAGAAAAGATTTTAAATGTGTAGCTTTCTTTATAATTTACAAATACGTTTAAATATAAATGCAACTATTATGCTTCTTTTTAGTATTATAAATACCTGAAGAAAACCACAGAATGATAAAGCACAAATAAAAGTCATTCGGCTTGTTTCTAACTCTCTTCCTAATATCCTAGAAAAAACTCTGCCATTTCTCATAGCCTAGATATAATTTACTAACACTCTGTGACAGCTAAGAATATTTTAGGAATGAAGAGGTTGTTCTGAGCTAAAACATGAAACTGTATAAGAAGAAACATTTCAACAGAGCACTACAGGTACCAAAGGGTTTCAGAAGAATTATCTTTTTAACCCTCAGAACAACCCTTCGGGTGGCTGGTGATATCTCATCTTACATAGGAGAAAGCTTAGATGTAGAAAGGTTACTAAGTTCTCTCAAAGTCACAGCTAAAGGGTAGTCAGGAAGTGAAGTCAGATCTTCTGAATTCAATCTCTGTTTCTTTCACTTTATCACTGTTTGAAGAATCTTGAAGTGGACACCAGGGGAATATTTTCACCAATTTCAAAATTTTATATCTTTGTACAATTTTATTTTCATTTTCCTCTGTTTGTCTTAGAGTTGCTTCCATTTTAAAAAAATAAATATTTAATAACTTTCTTTTATTCTGTATTTTTGATGACAAAAACACTTGCAGCTATGAATTTACATTTGAAAACTGTATTGCCCACATTCCATAGATTTTGCTTTGTAATACTTTCATTGTTGAAGACCACCTACACCTATTTTAAGATTTATGTCAGTAACAAGGTATTCTTAGAATTAATTTATTTTCTAAGAATCATTGCTTAGGTGTTAAACGATTATTATTTTGCGTTATCATTAAAATTATTTATTAAAGATAATATTAACAAAAATACAAACTTGCCATCATATACTTATTTTATTACAAATAAATTTAATATAAATAAAACAACATGTAGTTTTAATATACATGCACGAAATTCTTGATCTTCTTGAACAATACTACTCAAGAAAATAAACAATTTTTAAATAATCTAGTTGGTTAGAGCATATGAAGGTAAAGCCAAGGATGTGTATTAAATCTTTCATAGGGAAACTGAGTCAAAGAAAACTACTCTATGGTCAAACATGAACTGATAATCCCATTAGACATCTTCTCATAAATGTAGCTTATTAAATATATTATCAATTCTACTAGAAAAAAAACTCAGCGCAAAAATCCTATTATCAGCAGATCACATGTAAAGATATATGTCTGGCATAATCTGAAGACGTACGTGACCTACAACAATCTAAATACATGCAATATACATACCTGTTCTTCATTAGACGAACCTCTCTCTTTCGTGCTGCTTCTTCAGCAGGCTGTGTAGGAAGTGCTGGGGAGGATGCCATTACAACTCCAGGGGCAATGGTGCTAGTGGGTGCTGTGCGAATCTGGTATGTTTGTACATCTCCAGAGGCAGCTGGGAACAACAAAAAAAAGCAAGCATAGTGTGTAAGACATGGGAGCACTGTGAATGGGTTAAACTACATGTATCAATCATTCATCTCAACATCCATTTTCAATTCAAAAGGGGAAAAAAGGAAGATGATTCTGGCTAAAATACTGAAAGAATCAGCACTCTTTCTGTCATTACTGAGAACTAATTCCCAGTTTAATATATTTATAAGTATAGATACTTGGATGAAAGAGGTCTTAACCTATGTCTACTAGTTCTTATATTTCTTTCACTGGAATGCAGTTCTATTCTGCTGATAACATGCTTACCAACCTTAAGTCTAAAAGGTAAGTAGGACACAGCTTGGATGATCTTCCTAGATATAGTCCACAATGTCTTCCTTTGATATTGGTAAATTCATACTAAAAAATTTCAAGTAGACTCTTGCCACGACATAAAAACGACCACGATTTTTCATAAAATAGCAAAATGGAAGAGAAAATAAAGCATTATGGTCAACTATTATAAATTTCTAACTGAAAGTATGAAAAAGTGGTATCAATGCCAATTATATTATTTGTAAACATATTGTTTTAATATAAATGATAATGGCTATATTAACTGATATTTTTCTAACTAAATGATTCATCATTTATGAAAAGAAACACAATCACTATTTGTCAAATTGCCTCTAAAAACAACTTAATATCCCCTCCTAAGAATAAAAAACCTAACATTTAATTTAAGAGAATTTCAAGGTCTTTATACAATCATCCATATTTGAATATCCAAATTATTCACTGTTTAATATCAATTAAAATGTGGTTTGAATGGAAAAGATTTATATACTAAACATGTTACCATCTTCAAACTGACGTTCAGAATTCAAATTCACTGACATCTGCTTTACAATTTTTGAGTACCTGCGCGTAAAGTGAAAAGGTGTTTTACTCCCATTAATAAGCAAAATACTATGTTCTTCAAACATTATTTGTTTAGTAACAGAACATATTCTGTAAACACATTAGGGATCTTTAAATAAATTATGACTCTCTCTAGTTGGTGTTTTAGGACTATTCAAGAGTTACTATCTGCATCCAAAAGGCAAAACTGTCATTACTTAACATAGGCAAAATGCATTATTATAAACAAAAACACTTTTAGAAGCCAATTGATTATTATTTCCTCAATTTGAAAGATTTCAATCTGGAATAAACTAAATTCTTGAAATATTCATATGGATTCAAAGAAAAATGCTCAATTCCTACCAATAGATTCTTGGAACAAGTAGAAAAAAAATCTAAATTAAAAAAAAATCTATACATTATCAACCTATTTCTATAACTCATTGAAGATGTAATTACTTCCTTTTGCCGAAAGAATTAATAAGTCACACTTTGACCAGACTTACATAGTGGTACAGTAAGATTTTTCAGAATACAATGTTTTCATTTGAAATAAAAACTGATGATTTTAGAAAAGAGGGATCTAAATTTCTTTTGAATAAAAAGCAGAAAAGCAGAATTCTGAACCTCCAAAAATTTTTATCAGCGATTTGAGACATGAAAAATATCCAAGGCCCAGAGAGGTGGGGTCTTGTGCAAGGTCACATAGCAAGTCTATGCAGAGTTAGACCTAAAATCCAGCTTTTTCTAAATCCTGATTTGTTTTCCTCCTATCTACCTTGTTTCTCCTATTCATGAATGCTAACAGTGTTAAAGACAAATGTTTTATTTTTAAAACTAAAAATAGTTGTTTTTATGCCATGACATTTTGGTCCATAGGAATAATGGGAGAATTCATGGAAAATGTTATCTATAATAAAAATTAACTACGTTTTAAGAGTGCTTTGCAATATGATACTTACTTTTTCTGAAAGTTTATAAAACTTTAATCTTTCGAAGAATTAACCTCACCTGTGAATTCTAAACTTCCTTACCTTGAACAACAACTTGGTTGCTGGGCACTAGGATCTGCTGTCCATCAGTGGTCTGTGCATACTGGAGAATGGTAGTACCCGGCTGAGTAGCAGCTGCATTGGTCATGGTTAATGTTTGCAGGCCCTGTACCCCATCGGTACCATTGTTAGCCAGTTGTATTGCTCCTCCCTGGGTAATGGCAACTAAAATCCAATGGATTTTATTGTTACAAATTTAATACAAGACTTTTACAACACAATAAATTCTATGTAGAATACTTTGGAAGACACGATCTAGGAGAAATTATTATAGCAAATAACATCACTAAGAGAAGGATTTAGTATACTCAAGTAACCTGCTCAGGAAACCCACATCCAATTTCTACAATACAAATATACACTCTTTGAACCTCATTATAATTTATAATAACAAGGTCTGTTAATTTTTTTTTTTTTAAACAGATGAGTGGGAAAAAGTTGAACTCCTTTTAAGGTTTATTTGGTTCAAAGGCAGTAACACTTTGTGCTGTATACCTGCTTCTATTCTAGTATTAATTACAAAATGTTTTAGTATTTGCTGTAAATTTCTTGAGGGTAAGAAATGTGATTTATTCTTCTCCACTTTCACAAACTTAGAGCTGGGCACATAACGGACAGCCAAAAACTGCCTGTTTTAACATGTAATAAAGCAGTTCAAAAGTGTATTCTGTTCTTTAAATCATCCAGCAAAACATGAATATAACAAAAGTCCATTCAATGAAACAACTGAAATGTTCAATGGAAATGAATTATTATCGAGTCTCTCATGGAGTTTTAAAATTAGAGCTCAAGATCATCATTTAGAAAAAAATACTTCACGGCCATTTCGAAGTTACATATCAAAGCATTCTCATATACGATGCTTTGTGGATTATTCATTAATTAACCACACTTGCCATTCATCTGATATACAGTAAATTAATCAAGTTTGGCTCATATTAACAGACATTTCACTTTATAAAAAAATTGAAATCACCTTTCTGCTATAGTAAATGGAAAAAGTTATAAAGAGATTACTATTTTACTTGAAAGAAGCAGTCTTTTAGATACTAGCATTAAGAAAGGTGGTTAGATCCTCTGCAGTCACTCTCCTTGCTAGTGTTCAAGTGTTCCCAGAAAGAAAAGGCCCAAGAATCAAAATATTACATGTAAAACTGCATAACAGATTTTAACTGAGTAAGTAAGACAAGAGTAAAAAATGTAAGAAAGTCAACCTGTCTGACTTAAGCAATGTCACTTTCTAATTCTCTTAGAAGGGAATTATTTTGGGATCAACTGTCGCCAAGTTCTGGGAAACTATAATATTCCAAGAGTCATATACATGAGGAAAATTGATTCTCTGCTGCTCAATCAAGAGACAGTAAGAGTTAATGGCTATGATTGGGCTAGTTTAGCAAATGAAACCTGTGGAAATTAAGACACCTGGCATATACAGCCTATCTACTTCAGTTAATTCTAGATGTTTTGCTTATCTTACACCAGAACAAAATTATAATATATAAGAACTATTTCAAGATTAATTTTGCAAGATAACTCGAAAGAATCAGTAAGTTAACAGAATCAAACCACAATTTCTCACAGAGTCAATAAGAAAAATCTACTGTATTTTCTTCTTGGCTACATACCAACAAATTTAAGGTTCAGGGAAAGAAGTAAGGAGCTATAGAACAGAAGATCTGAGTTCTAGCTCAGTTTCTACCAATAATCTCTTATTTGATTCTGTTCTCTTCTGTAAAAGTATAAATATTTGTTTCTAGCCATTTCATATGACTGCTGTAAAAAACAAATGAGATAATGTATATGAAAGTACTTTGAAAACCGAAGTGCAATCATATCAAATATAGTTTTTATCAATAATGTTGTTACAGTTGCTTATTCCGAAAGGACTGGTGATAGATTTCAACAAAACCAAACTCATTAAAACAAGAATAAAAAGGCAGAAGTCAAGTAACTGATTCGTCTCTATGTGTGTTTTATAGTGATTACAATCTAGACTAAGGAAAGAAAATGCAATTAACTGTAAACTTAATTGAGATTCTGGGTAGCCAGAAAAAAGAGGAAAACATCAAGGGTTACAGTTTTATTTAGTGAAACAAAAAAATTCAAGTTCACAATGATAGATATGCATTTTTCTACCTAAGAGCATAATCTCTGAAACAAGACATTATTATCGGGGACAGTGAACCAAGTAACGGATAAAATTAATAATACTGTTAATCAAAAACATATCTAATTTATGGAAGGAATGCAAACTGGTGCAGCCACCTGGAAGGGCAACATGGCAAGATATGCTTTGATTCAATAACTCTCCTTTTTGGATGCTATCCACTGACACACTACTACATATATAAGGAAGTTCATGCAGCAGTGTTTGAAGTAGCAAAAACATCCCAAATGTCTATCATTGGGACAATGTTTAAATAAATGTTATGTTTATACAATGCAGCTGTTAAAGAAACAATATACATAACTAGATGTGTGTGTCTATGTATATAGATAATGTTTAAGAATACGTAACAATATGAATATGTATAAGTAGAATGAAAAAGAATAGAGGAATACACACCAAATCTTTACCACTGGGGAGGGATGAAAAAGGATTTTTACCTTTTATTAATTTTATACATTTCTAGCATTTGAATTATATAAGTAAAGAAATATATAAATCTTGCTGTGTATGTGAGTATTCATTATAATGATTCCTAAGAAAAATCAAGAACATGTTAATTCAATACCATCAAGGCCATGTATGTATATATAGAGAGTATAAGGGAGAAAGACAATGAATAAAGTTTAAAAAACCTCAAAGTATTAATCTCTTTAGTTTTACAGATTTTCTGTTGCTGGAAGGTGGTACGTGACAAATTAAATGCGTGGGGAAGGGTGGTACTTTTTCAAACTTCACTTTCCTATTTGAGATGCTCCTTTCTAAAGAGCATGCTTTCTAGTTCAAGTGAGAGTTGCTGCAATAGTGAATCACTGTTACTGACAGGAGTATGTGGTATCCCTCAGGTGTGCTGAAGTAGGGGGAAAATAAAGATCATGTATCACTCTTAGAACATACATCTTGAATGACAAATTATCTAGACATAGGGAGTGCTCTCATTAAACTAAAAATACACATACACACATACAAATATAGAGATAGAACCTCTGTATCCTGACAACAAAGAACTTAAGGAGAAAGACCACTGAATTCCACTGAGCTTAGACAGTGGACAAGAAGCTTAGTCAAAACTACTTACTATCAAGTTTCAGCTTTGGGAGAGCTAAAAAGATTGCCACTTAGGAATCTGTTTCTAATTCAGCTGGAATGCAAATTAGTCATGCAAACCAAGGTTGAGCTGTAACTTTAAAACCTAGTTAACTTGGGGGTCAAACTTTTAAACATATTTCTGATACAGACTACCCCAGGGCATTAGAAGACTAATGCAGCAAAGGAGTTTCAAATGTGTACATTTAATTTGTAACTAAGGGAGGGGGATGGAGGGAGAAACTATATAACCAGCAGCACTGGATTTAGGGAAGAAATCAAAACGTGTAGGCAAGAGGGGAAAAAGTACCATTCACACAAATGCCGCTGGTCAAACAAAAGCAGAACTCAAAACTATCTTGTAACAGATTTAGTTAAAGATGAGAAGAGATCAAAGAGGTTAAGAAGAGAGAACTAGGTGCCAGACAAAGCTATCACTGAAATGGAAAACTAATAATTTTGCTATAGAAACCTTTGCTTCCTGTGAGCCAAAAAGCAAAGTGCCCTCCTAACTTCAGCCGTCCATTATGTATACATTACCATAATTGACTACACTATCTTTTATGTTAAAAGGAATTATAAGTAAATGTGCTGATAGAGGGTAGTCAAACCCATTCCCCTGAAATAAAATAGGAAGATTTTAAAATGCTACTTTTAGAAGGGAACAGAAATAATTAAAATAGATGAATAATGAGAACATTTTCGGCCTTAAACATATCCAAAGAATGATTATATTCTTTATCTGAACAAACAAATAAATCTCCAAAACTCATGTTCTCTCTTAACGCCATATATTACACAACAACTAAAATCTAGAATTTCAATTAGTGGTTACAAAACTTCTAAGGACCCACATGCATCTGTACAAAACAAAGGAACATCCAAGGGGCTTATACACTTGAGTCATCCTACCTTAAACCCTGAAGAAACTACTTCAGTTAAAGATATTTGTATATTGAGCAGTAAAGAAAAAATACAATAATGGCACCAAGACTGACAGAAGACATGGCACGTATGATTGCTGTAAGGATAATTCAATCAGCAGTTTCTCCTCTTGCTTTTCAAAACAGAAATATCTGTTACTCACTATACTGTCCACTGCTAGTTTGGTAAATTGGAGTTGGCACCGTCACAGTGGTGATGGCAGGTGCTGAAGTCTCCTCTTCAGACTTCTCTTCTTCAATCCTTGGCACTCCTGGTGCATCAGAAGATAAGTCATTCAAAATTTTCCTAGAAAAATATAGCACTATATTAATTAAAATAAAAGTAAAATATACTGGGTAAATACAAATAATAGGAAAAAAACAGAAAACAGGCAGAAAGTTGCTTAGTACTTAGGATGAAAGTTTAAAATGTAAGAATTTACAAGAATAAACTCCAAATGCATCAGGGATCTAAATGTAAAAATGAAATACACAAAAGAAAAAAAGAGATAAATTCTTCCTTAATATGGGTGTTGGGAAATGTTGTAACTATGACTCAAAATCTAGATGCAATTAAAGAAAAGATTAATGAAAATAACTACATTTAAAAAAATCCTACTGGCATGGCAAAGAACATCAAAACCAAAGTCAGAAGAAAATCAATAAAACTGAGAGAAAATATTTTCATAAATCACAGATAAAGGGCCAATATCCCTAATATATAAAGAACTCCTAAAAACTGAGGGCAAGACCGAAAACCCGATTTTTAAAGATAGGCAAAAGACTTGAACAGACAATTTACACATATATCCACATGTAAAAAAAATGGTGTTTAAACATATGAAAAGATGTTCAGCCTTGGTCATAATAATAGAAATACAAATTAAAGTTACAGAGATTATCACTTTTCAACTCTCAGATTGGTAAAAATAAAGTACAACAATATAATCTTGTTGGCAAAACTCTGGGAAAAGAGACACTTTCATACACTGCTGTCAGAAATACAAGATAGGTACAACCCTTAGGAACGGAATTTGAAGACATCTAACAAAACTACACGCGTTCACGTAGCAATCCCACTTCTAGGAATTTACCTTTAAGATATACTTCCACCAATACGAAAATACACACGTGTAGGTTTATTCATCGTGGCATTGTTTATAATTGCAAAATAACAGGAAACAACCTATATGCCCACAAAAAGGATGGTGGTTGAATAAACTATGGTACATTCACATAACAGAATACTACACAGGTATAAAACTGGAAGATTTTTATGAACTAACAATGATTTCCAGGATATATTGTTAAAGCAATAAAAGCAAACTACAAGATGGAATTTACAGTATAGTACCCTTTGTATAAGTAAGAAAGGGAAATAATAAAATATATATACATGTATCTGCTCATTTGCTCAAGAATAAAATGAGGAAGGTTATCTACTGGAGGTGGATGGGAAAGAAGTAAAAGGAATGCAAGAAATGGGGTGAGGGTGCTTCTGAGTATACTTTCTTGTACAATTCTGACTTTTGGAACCATGTTAATGTTTCATATCCTCAAAAAAAGAAAACAGCAGCAGCAAGGATGGGAAAAAACTCTAAAATAAAATACAAACAAAAACAAATAAACCTTACCATATTTCAAATAAATAATGTAAACACAGAAGGGGGGGGAAATACCTAACACAAGTAATCTCTGACATGTTAAATTTATAACAAACTAGTTTCAATTAATACCAACTTAACTTCAATCGTGTGAAAAAAAAAAAACCTCTGTTCCTATATAGCACCATCCCTCCCCCTTTATGTTACAGTCACAAATAACATAATACAGCCAATTATGTCCTTATATATTGTGTGCCCATTAACACAGATTTATAATTACTGTTTTATGCATTTGTCACATCATATTGGGAAAAAAAGAATAGTTAAAAAAACAAAACTATATTAATACTGGCTTTTATATTTACCTATGTCATTACCTTTATTTCTTTGTATGGCTTTGAGTTACTGTCTAGCGTCCTTTCATTTCAGCTTGAAAGGCTCCCTAAAGCATTTCTTTTAGGTAAGTCTACTAGCGATGAACAGAGGGCATCCTTGTTTTGGTCCTGATCTTAGGGCAAAAACTTTCAGTCTTTCACTATTGAGTATGAACACCATAAATGTCCTTTATCATGTTGAGGAATTTCCCTTATATTCCTAGTTTGTTCAGTACTTCTATCACGAAAGGGTGTTGGGTTTTGTCAAATGCCTTTTCTGTGAAAATTGAGATGATCATGTGGTTTTTTTCCCCTTTGCTCCATTAATGTAGTATATTACACTGATTGATTTTCTAAGATTGAACCACCCTGCATTCCTGGGATAAGTCCCACTCAGTCATGGTATATAATCCTTTTAATATGCTGTTGGGTTTGGTCTGCTAGTATTTTGTTCAATCTCTTCCTTTGTTATAGGTCTGTTGAGATTTTCTACTTCTTGAGTTATGTTTCTAGGAATTTATCCATTTCACTTACGTTTCCCAGTTTGTTAACTGTTCATAATATTCTCTTATGATTCTTTTTATTTCTGTAAGGTTGGTAGTAATGTCACCACTTTCATTCCTGATTTTACTTACCAGTGTCTTCTCTCTTTTTTTAATCAGTTTAACTACGGTTTTGTCAATTCTGTGGATCTTTCAAAGAACTTTTGGTTTTACTGATTCCCTCCATTGTTCTTCTATTCTCTATTTCACTTATCTCAGCTCTAATTCCCTCCCTTATTCTAGACACTAGGTGTTTACCAGCATATCCTTACACTGCATTGGCTTTTTTTGGTAACAATATCACATTGCTGATAATTAAATAGTGTAATTATCTTTCTCAAATGAATTCTTAATCAAAAATTCTGTACTTGAATAACTAATTTTATTTTAAACCCAAGTTCAGAAAGTTTACAACAATTATCCCCAACATTTTACCCAATTTGTTTCAGTCTATTTCCCTCGGCTGCTATGAACTTTCAAAATACTTATTCTTCCTTTCATCAGGGAATTTATTCCGTAAGGTTGTCATTTGCAAATTTGTTAAGCATGGCTTCTATGTTTTTCAGCTTAATTGCTGGTAAAAATCCCAAGCCAGATGAGACCAAGTGGAGAGCACTTTGGGGATTTCCTCTGCATATGAACTAATCACTACCAAGCTGGTTGTTCTAATAAAAATCCATCTTGTATTATGATGTATTATATGCCTCACAAGCATATCATAAGAACTTCTGCTAATTACCATGCTATAATCGAGAAATAGAGCCTGGTTTCAGGAATTCATAAACTTAAAACAAAATAATGGTACTCTACTGAGGAGGTTTCTCTGTAAGCAATGATACCATTATCTTTCATGAAAGCAACCTTTTCTCTATATATCTGTGATTTCATAGCATCGTGCATTTGATTATTAATTCTGGTTTTAGTATTTTAATGACCTTTGCTAGAACTGAGTTCGTAAGCCAGTTAAGGCAAATAAAAGGTGAATTTTCTTCAACATCAAGCTCATTTTATAAGCTCTAGAGCTAAGATTTGCCCAGAACTTAGAATTTCTATATTTAAATATAGAAAGAGAAACCATGTGGCTTGTTTCACAGTACCTGGTTGGATCTACTTCAGGATCAAAGATGGTACATACCAATCTGAGACATATTTCAAAGTCAAAATCTAACACTAGCTGTATTTAAAACAAAAGAAATTATGACTAGAAGTACATACAGCATATACTCAGGATCATAAAATTTCTTAAGACCTCAAAATCAATTTATTGGTATTCATCATTTAGGATCTTTAGTGGTGAGGACAGAGAAAAAGGCTAGCTTGGTAACCAAGTAAGCAGGGTAAAAAAAAAAAAAAAAATCACTCCTTTGGAAAACAGAAGTAATTTAAGCTAATAACAAGGAAGAATATTGGAAGTCTGAAGTTTATTGAACTCTGAAGTAAGCTTATTAGGGAAATTCGCGGAATTGCCCTTTCTGAATATATTTAATACAGAATCAATATGTACATACAAAAAATGGTTTGGTCCAGCTCAGAGACAAGACATAGGCTAGGTAACTTCTATAGCTGAACACAAAAACTACAGTAAGGCACCCCTATAATTTGAGGGTGCCAGCAAAGCATCACCCTGACACAACTATTAAATTAGCAAACAGCTATCTGCTAAGTACCCTTGCACAAGAAATGGTTTGCAAATATGCTAAGTAGATAAATGGTGTGGTTTCAGAACTGACATATAACTGGAAAACTGCTATAAGTTATAAGTTTGAAATACATATATCAAATGTATTTCAAACTTTTTAACAGAAAGACAGCAGCCAGTACAGTCTACAAAAAGAGAAGCAGAAGAAAAATTAGTGTTTATCTAGGATTGTTCAGAGGAAGAAATGTTCTCATTCCATAAAATAAGCTTCAACTTGAAAGAAGTAACTCAAGATGAAAGAAGTAATCCATAAAGTGCTGACTTGAGCTAATTGTCTCCTAACATTTTTTTATCTACAACTACCTAGAGCTTCCTGCTTGTTTTTGATTCTGAGTTCTTTTAACTACTAATTTCCATACCTGTAAGAAGGCCTCCTTGAAAGAATCTCTCTTCGTTTCTGGGAATCAGTAACACTATCCACTGATTCCTGTGAATCTTCACTTTCTGCAATAGTAGAAATCTGAAAATAAAGAAGAACTTTATCTTGATAACCAAATTTAGTTCCCATAAATTTTTTATGAATTTTAAGGCAAAGTCAAAATACGAAAAGACTTACTTAAACCTTATACATACTTCAGTAAGGGAAAAAACAATCAGTTTTTATGGAAGACAACCACACTCATTCTTCCTTCCTCTTTAGTTACTATACAGATTACAAAAGGTGAAGTCCAAAACCAAAACCAAACTCGTCATCAAGTCGATTGCAACTCATAGCGACCCTATAGGAGAGAGTAGAACTGCCCCATAGGGTTTCCAAGAACAGGTGGTGGATTCGAACTGCCAACTTTTGGTTAGCAGCCAAGCTCTTAACCACTTCACCACCAGGGCAGAGACCTTAAAGTTTTTTTTTGTCAATACCAAACTTTTGTGATATCCAAATTCAGAGTAATCTTTTAGGACTCCATGTAATCAATCTTGAATGCAATAATGTTGTCAGTTATTTTCTTTCAGTTTGTTAGAACAAAACTACCAACTAAAGTAAGGTTTCTGATATGAGAGAAAGAAAGAATGACTAACTACAGTCTTAAGTCTTTATAGTGACTATACAAATATTTTTGTCTACTTTGTAAACATTTGCATATTTACAACTGTATTAATTAAGATTGGTGATATTCCCACAATCTTCTAGACTGTGGTTTTTGGCAAGTTATGAAAAACTCTTCTGGTTACATATGTTTCAAAGTTAGCATTCTATAATTTTTATTAAGCAAAAATTCAAGGTAAAGAACTGTGCATTTCTGGAAAATACCCCTAAACTGGAAAGTAATGCGTGAATAAACATTTTACTTGGGATGATAATAATAATAATAATAGCAACTGGTATTTACTAAGAGCCCTCTATTATGTCCATTTTATAGATGGAAAAATTAAGACATAAGTAACTCACCCAAGTCACAAAGCTAGGAAGTAGTGGAGCCCCAAGGCATTTTCAGCCCATTTCTAGACTAGAAGTTCACTCACCTAGGCATACTTGTCTATCAAATTTTTACTGCCAAATTTCTTTAGTCTAATCAGCAGGAAGGTGTCATGCTCTATCCTGAACTGAGTGCTTATAATCTTAGTTAGATTTAACCAAGGCAAAAAAGTCTGTGTGGGTTAGCACCATGTCTAAATTTCTGGCAATGGCATTAAGAAAAAACATACTCAGAAGCAGTGAGAAATTCCAAAAAGTACTCTTGAATGTGGTCTGAGGCTCAGGGCTCTGGAGAGTGGTTACTCATTTTGATAAGGTTTTCTGATAAGCATGCTCACTTTAAAAAGAACTATGTTGGGTAAATCAATAATGCTCTACAAGGTACACCTACAATAATGTAATCTGCTCAATCTAGACACTTAAAAAAGTATAAGAAATATAATCTTAAATACCTAAAAATAAACAGGAAACATTTAATGAATCTAAAAATAACTCATAAAAGATGGGCAATGCTGAATTTCAGATGTGATTCTCTGCCGAGTAATAATGCTATAGTTATTGCTAAAGGAACATACGAATTATTTCCTACCAATTGGCAGCTGCTGGGTATAGTCAACACAGACTTTCTCAGATACAGATCAGAAGCTGTGAAAAGGCCTTACCAGAGGGTCAGAATTTCAAGAGGTAATAATGCTGAACTCAAGTGGACAGTACCATGATAAACATTGTTTACCTTCATTAATACTCCACTTAGGACTCTGTTACTTTTCTTCCTCTGCCCTCTTTGCTTGACTCTCATAGTCCCCCCGATCCTTACAACCTTCTTTTAAAGACATGCAGTGACTTTGGAACAGGAAGCATATCATGCCCAAGCTGAAACTTATTTTAAAAAAACAAAACAAAACAAAACAAAACCCAAACATGCTACATAAACTACCCAAAGAAAAGTTTCAAATGAAATAATTGTTTTTTATATGTGGACTTTGATTTTTTTTTTCTCCCAAACGCAGCTTATCAATGGCCCTTAGCGGACAAAAGCTTCCCTCCTATGATTTAAAAGATGTTGTGTATTCAGACAGAAGGCATTATCATTATGCAGTGATTACAATTTTTTTAATGTAAAGGAAATTCAGAGCTATTCACATCACATCATGACGGTAACATTTCCTCTTTGAGGATACTACCCAGGGAGAATTTAGAACTATAAAGCCAATTCCTATGGACTGACTAAAACAAAACAAAAAAACACCACTGAACCCTATTTCTAAGGTTAATAAAAATCATATCAAAAAACTTCCTTATCAATGATAATAATTATATAGTTCAATATAAACCCCAAACCAAACCCACTGCCATTTAGTTGATTCCGACTCATAGCGACCCTATAGGACAGAGTAGGACTGCTCCATAGGGTTTCCAAGGCTGTAAATCTTTACAGATGCAGACTGCCACATCTTTCTCCCGCAGAGCGGTTGGTGGGTTTGAACCACCAACCTTTTGGTTAGCATCCGAGCACTTCAACCACTGTGCCACCAGGCCTCCTCCATAGTTCAATGTTTTTAAAACATTAATAATAACCATTTGAAAGGTTATATCCCAATTATACATATCACAGATTACCATCATATGCCAATGACAGATCCCCTTCCTCTGGTCCTCATCTGCTGTCATCTTTCCTTTTACTAACCTCTTCCTGAGATCCTTTAACTTTGGCTACTTTTTAAGTCAAGAAAATTTCAAAAAGCCAAACCACCACTTGCATATGTAATGTTTAGTTCTGTCTTTCTCAGCTTTTTGTTTAAAATACCCAGTGTTGTCTAAGAGGAGGAAAAAACCTCCTTGTCATAATATTTGAAATTTCAAAATAAACTATATAGTGACTAGACACCAAACAATGGTAACATTAGATGTCTTCTCAAACTATACATGTCCCCTAAAACCATGGCCCACAATTCCTGCTATTTCTTGTTATGTCAAGCATACTCTCACCTCAGAGCCTGTGGACTTACTTTTTCTTCTACCTGGAATGCTCTCCCAAATTATCAGCATGGCTTAACCTCCTTCACCGTCTTCTGGTCTCTGCTCACCCTCTTCCCTGACTACCCTATATAAAATGGGACACCCTTCCCCTCACATCATTTTCTATCCCTTCAGACTGCTTTAATCATCTTCCCAGCACTTATCTCCACCTGATATACTTTATTTGTTCAGTGTTTGTCTCTCTTCAGTCATATGTGATCTTTATGAGAATAAAGGCTGAGTATTTGTTCAATGCTGTCTATTCTAGCACCTAGAACAGTGACTGACACATCACATGTGATCAATAAAAATTTGTTGGTGGAATGAATGTATTAATCTAAGATAATATAATACATAAATCCTCTGTCTGGCACATTTTAATTGCACTGTACTGAAATATGGCCAAAACCAAGGAATAAAAAAGTGAGGATGCCACTGTCAGTCCCTATACATGGTGTAACTCATTATTTTTAGGGGGAAACTCACAAAATCTGTGAGATGTAACTTCTAGATGCAAGGATAAAGTTAGGGTACAAATGTCAAGCCATATATGAAATACTAGTACAGCTCAGTTGCTAAAATTTTTTAGATTAAAGGTCTGTAAATAAAAGTCTGAATACCTTATTCTCACATCAAGAAAACACACCTTGTATATTTTCGAAATACTGGTCTAGAATACTAATATCCTCCTATCTAGAAATTTAAGGGACCATTCCTCTCCTTGTATGGTCACACTTCTTCTGATATTTTAAGTTACTTCCTACTTATTAATATTAATCACTGTTAATCAGCTGAAATGACCATTAAAGTTTAATAGATTCTCCATGATTTAGATGCTTTAAAGAAAAACAAAACAAAAAAACCAAAAACGATATTTCTGTCTCTATTCATAGAATCTAGGCTTCAAGAAGCTCAACTTCTCTTTCTCAAATACATAAACTTTAAATAGTAAGTGTTGCTCACCTTAATGAAAAAATGTGTTCTTGAAAAGCACATATTTCTATTGTTAATGGCCATATAAGCTACTTGTACACAAATTATTTTGCCCCAATATAAAGATTAAAATTAAGAATACAATCAACAATTAAATATCATGTAAACTAAAAACTGTAAACTTAACAAATCTGGTGGCTGTAATTTTAGTAATTTTTCTATGTTCTTTACAGAAAGACCTCCTATAAGTGAAAAAGTTAAGGCTGACTTGCCCATCATCATTTGGCTTATCAATGCCCAAACTTGGTCTGGAATCTAGGTCTCCTGATTCACAGGTCGTTTCTCCCACTATTGTCAAGAGGAGGATATGAGTAGGGAAATACTACGGCACAGTATAGAGAATGGTAAGGTAGCATTCAACAAAATAAAAACTCAGGCAAAGAGTAGGAGACTACTGCTCATGGTGATGGTAGTTCCAAAGAAATATCAAATTCTTAGGTCTTTACTTGGACAACACTGTCTTCTACTTGGTAACAAATTCCATTCCCAGTATCTTTCAGTATGGCAATTCATATAACTTGATGGTTTCACATGACATTATCTCCTTTTTCCACTTAAGTGGTCAGCTAAACCAAAAGCTCAAGGACAGAATGTGGTAGATGTAGGAAACAGCTGCTCAATGACTCAATTGTATAATACAGACAGACCCTAATCTGCTCTTTGATGACATTAACAGAATGCCTGCAGAACAAAGGATGCACTTCTTCCCTCTACAAATATATTTAGACTATTTCAACTAGTTCTGGCTATCATATTCGATCTCCCACAGAAGAAAACAACCAGGATGGTGAAGAGGAATCAAAGCTGGACCATATAAAAAATAGCTGAAGAAAAATAGGAGGTTGTTTAGTCTGGGAAATTTTTTATAATTGGAAAGGTGTGGGAGATAGGGAAGAAGAAGCAGTCCGACAGAAAAGGAATTAGACTAGCTTACCCAGTTTCAGAAGATAGAGCTGTGATCACTAGATGATTTTAGCAATATCCCTAATTGTAAATAAGTTATCTCAGGAGATAGAGCTTCTTTTCTCTGGAAGTGTTAAGAATAATGCTGGACTACCATCTGGGTGAGAGGAAAAACGTTATATAGGGGAATTAGGCAACAGACTGAGTGATGGGTGAGTAGCAAGTATGGCCTAGACTTAGAAGATCTCTAAGGTTTTCATTCCAGTCTTGAAATTTCATGTTTACAGAGAAGGACAAAGACAAAGTTCTCACCTTCCTTTCTAACAATAGTTTTCTCCAAATCTAGAACCTAGGACTCACCTGAGTTCCGGAGAAAAGTCTTTTTAAGTCCTTACAGGAAGACTGTGAAGCAAAAAATACGAAATGGGAGGCTGGGGTTATGGCCTACTTGAATGAATGTTCAAGTCTTTTTTTTTTTTTTAAATAAGTTCAATTGCAAAGATCTATATTGCTCACAGTTCCCTACAGTTAAGTAGTCGCCTTCACAGGTCTATTGTGCCTTTATTCTCTTTGGATCCAATCCAAAGGAACACAATTTTTCCAAAAAGTAGGGCACTAGGCATAGTATAATCCCTGACCGTTAAGATTCACCTTATGAATATACCATTACTTCAAAGTTATGTATGTTAACTAAAAATCCTAAACACACAGATGTTTTATGTGATCTCTAAGTTCAAATAATAAGTAAGGTTGTTAATTTTTGATGAGGGGTTTTCCCCCAATTGCAGGTTTAAAAAATAATTATGTTATTATTTTTGTATATCAATTTTCCGTAACTATCCAAAGTAGCATACGGTAGTTGCCTCATGACATTTTTTCTTTCACTTTCTCATTTCTAACTAGTTGTCTAGTCTCTCCATCAGACAGTGTCCCCCAAACATTTCCAGTTTATCCCCTGTATTTAATTATTTACTCCAATGAATTATTTTTTCTTATTTGGCTTAATAAAGTATTTTTCTTATATGTCTGTCTTCGTGTATATATGTTCCTATATAGACGCAGCATATTCCTCTACTGTGAAATAAAATTAACTTTACTAGATGTGTTCCTATTTTTGTAACTAATAAAAGGAGAGAGATATGGCTATAAACAACAATTATGAAAGTAGATGTAGAACTTTTTATACACATACCTGAACTGTCTGGACCTGTGGAGACTGAATAACTGATGGCTGGGCCGCCTGAATAACTCCATGGACTTGAACTGTCTGACCATTAGGCAGCTGTACTAAAGTTACCGTGGGAGCAGATGATGTTGCATGAGCTGCTGGCATAGATACCTATGGTGTTGAACATGGAAAAAAATTACCATCACAGATACCTTCTTGAGAACACTCATGTTCAATATGAAATAACTTTTTGGCAGCAAAAAAGATGATCTTTCTGCTAGATAAGTATTTAATTGATGTGAAAGACACTAATAATTATATCAATATTCTTTAAAAAAAAAAAATAAAACCACTTTTCAACTCCTTCCCCCCAAAAAACTATTTTAATATACTATCAAAATATGTAATACAGATTTCCTTTGAACATTAAATACCACTTTATTTGTATGGTGCTTTACATCTTCCCACCTGCTTTTTATATCCAATTTTTCATTTTGCTCTTCAAAGAAATCCTATAAAAGCCTAGGTAATAAGGATTATCTTTACTTTAGAGACAGAAATAACCACTGCTTAAACAGATTAAGTAATTTACCCAAGGCTAAAAGATATGTTAGCCTTGAAACACATAATCTTCAGAATATTATGCATTAAATAAACCATGTTCTAAACCTAATCATTCTATTACTGATTAGGGCTCTCAAACTTGGGCAAAACTGACCTACCAAGTCTAGAACAAATATACACCTTACAATGCGCAGCATAGTTTTCTTCTTTAAATTAATTACAAGTATGCCTCTTCCTTAATGAGAAACATCACTACGAACTGGAATCATCGACTCGATGGCACATAACTACAACAAACGTGTCAGGACATTAAAACTGAAACTACAAAAATGAGACACACATGGGTGCCTGCCCTCAAGGATATCACTGGGAGGAGGGGTGAAGGAATGGGGAAGAGAGACAAAACTAAATATACTTCAGTGGGGTAATGAGGTTTGCTCAGAGAAAAACGGGCACATTGAGGAGAGCTACCAACCCAATCTAAGAGTAGGAAGGCTACAAGGGAAGAACATGAATATGACACAAAGAATACAAATTAGGCATGTTATGATTTGCAGGGGAGAGGAGAATTTTAGAGGCTAACAAGGTTGTTACTATTGTTGGTTGCCACCTAGTCAATTCTAACTCATGGTGACCCTGTGTGTGCAGAGTAGAACTGCTCATAGGGTTTAAGGCTGTGACTTTTTGGAAGCAGATCACCAGGCCTATCTCTCGAGGAACCTCTGGGTGGGTTTGAACCTCCAACCTTTCAGCTAGTAGTTAAATACTTAACTGTCTGCATCACCCAGGAACTCCTCACTAGTAAAAGCAAAGAGAAACAGCATGCACATAAGTGTATTACTATATAATGTAGGAAGTGGGGAAAGATGAAATAATAGAGATAGGCAGGGGCTAGGTGGGCTAGTCATGAAGAACCTTGTGGTATACTCAAGAACTTGGACTTCATCCTGAGGGTACTGGGGAAGACGATGAAGGTCTTTTGAATTCCTGAATATCATGGTGAGGTTTGCATTTGAGATAGATCACTTTAGTGGCAGTTATGAAAGATATATTTCAGGGAGAGAAAATACTGGAGGTGAGCAGACCAATAGAGAAAGCCTACATAGTAGTCAGGTGAAATAATACAGGCCAGAAACAGAGCAGTAGTAGTAGTAGTAGCAGTAGGGATGGGAATGAAAGAAGTGATTTAATGAAAATTCAAGAAGCAGACCAGGCAGGGCATTTTGAATAACTGGTTGAAGAAGGTGAGAGAGAAATCAAAGATAACCCAGATATTTCATGTTTAAAGATAACCCAGATATTTCATGTTTAAGTGAGAACTGGCAGACGGTAGGCCATCAACTGAAACAGACAATGCAAGAAGGAGAAGCTTTTGGGTGGTTTGGGAGGTGATGGAAGATGATGGAATGGATCTGACATCTGAATTTGCAGAGGTGTTTAGCAGGTAGTTAAATATTTGGCTGTGAAGACTGGGGGAAGGGTCCCTATAGAAGGCAGAGTCTTTGGCAGAGGTTAAAACCATGAGCTTCCATCTTTGCATAATCAGGTACTCCTTCCTTATTAATCACTTTCTCTCTGGCCAGTAACTGTAAATCTTGCTTAGTTCTACTTTTTAGGAAGTAGTTCTCAAGATGTGGTCCATGGACCACCTGGAAGTCCTTCCTTATTAATCACTTTCTCTTTGGCCAGTAACTGTAAGTCTTGCTTAGTTCTACTTTTTAGGAAGTAGTTCTCTAGATGTGGTCCATTGACTACCTACATTTGAGTCACAAAGCTGCCTGTTAGAAAAGTCAGAATCTCTGATTGACCCAAGAATGTGCTCCCCTACACTGAAGTTTGAGAACCAAATTTAAGGTCATTCAGAGTATCTCATCTCACTTCCACATTAAAGCTCTTCTAATATTTGAAGCAATTATTATGTCCTCTTCCCTGAGTCTTCTCTAGGGTAAATACAGCCAGCTTACTCAACAAACAATCCCTTCTCTACCCCGATCATTCTATTATAATGGCTCCTTTCATTATAAGTTTATTAAATACAGATACACAAAAAGGAAATAAAAATCACTTCTATTCCTACCACCCAGAGCTAATAATTATTAGTATTTTTGCTGTAGATCTTCCAGGTGTTTTTTAAGGCACATACACACACTCAACTTTTATAACGTGGCTATCATTAAAATCCATTATGAATCTTTCCATACCACTAACAGTCTTCTTTAATGGTTTAGTGGCTGTATTAACAGTAAAAACTACATATACTGTTAAACAAATTCCTTATTATTGGATATTTAGGTTTTCAAATCTGCCTGTTACACCAAAGCTATAATGAACATCCTTCTACCTATTCTTTACTTAAATCTATAAAAACTTATATTCTCACAGTCAAAATCAGTAGTTTTTTTGTTGCTGTTGTTTTGTTTTTACCTTTAAAAATCTCTGTAAATTTTAAAAGCAAAATAGGGTATCTCATTATTGTTTTAACATGATTTTTTTTTTTTTCCTTTTACTAGTTAGGTTGAATTTGTTTTTCCTGTTCATTGATAAAATCACAATCTTCCTGGATTTGTTTGGGAATTTTATTATATTCTAATATTTAGAAGCTGACATTAAAAAATAATAAGTATCAGAATTATAAGAGGAAATTACTCCCAAAATGTATGATTCATATGTTAAGGAAACTGGATAAGCAAGTGAAAAAACACTCCGTGATTGGGAATAAAAAGAACAACAACAAAATAAATGGGGACAGGTATCAGCCTTCCTAAAACTCAAATATGATCATGTCAGTCCTCTTTTAACAACTTGATAAAGATGACTAATCGTATATGTGCTTATAATTTTGCTCCCTTCTGATCCTCACTTAAACTTGGTGGAATTGCTTTTGTATTTATAGGCAAAATCACAAGAGTGTAGAATGGGAAAGGAGATAATAGTAATTAGGGTTTTGTAGACTGAAAGCAGATGGATGAATGGTAATGAACTCGGAAAACCTCATAAGGCCAACTTATAAGCTGGAGGCAAGGAAAGCCACAGAATCCTTAAGAGGCTCAGGATATAAGACACCCTGAGTGGTGGAGTGAATGGACAAGCTGGAAATAAGGAAGGCTTGGTTAAAGACTCTTTGAGAAGCACCTTGATCTCCTTCCAAACTTCCTGTGGAAGAGCAACTAACATTCAACCCTGACAGAAAGATGGAGATTTAGTCTCTGGAGAGATAGAGGCACCAGACATTGCTGAAGGTGGAGTATCGAACTGGAGCTCTCTTCTCCCACTTGGCTTTCAGGTATTTACTCTGTAAGAAAGGGGATTAATGAAGTCTTCTCTGGACAACCTGACCAATTCAAGAGGAAAGACCTAAAAGATACTGACACTGGGGACCACCACAATCACCCTACTGTGAAGCTCACAGTTGTTGGGCCTCAAACACATCCACAGAGATTCCAATACAACTTTTTGGTTCTCCAACTTTAAACCCAAGGAAACAATAAAAAATTATCAAAAATTTGAGGAAAGCTACTAATATGAAGGATGCAGACCAAAAGAAATTGGGGGTGGGGATGGGGGTGGGGGGGGACAGACAAAGTACCTGGAAGAAAATCTTTGTAGGAGAAATAAAACTTA